CGGGGGGGGGGGCGGCCGGAGCCCCGGGGGGAGGGCGCCGGGGAGGAGGGCGGCGAGCCCGGCCGTGGCCCCACTCTCCCCGGGGGCCGGAGCGCCGCGCTGCCCCCCTTCAGGTGCCGCCCCAAGCACCAGCTTGGTGGGCTGGTGCCTGGAGCCGGCCCTGCTCCCTGTCAGCTGCTGACCACTAGGCAGGTGAGCAGTCAGTTGGCTGCCTCTGTTCTGGTGCCACAGCAGCCCCTGGTGGGCAACAGGCATAACTGCAGAGCCTCTCCAGCAGAATCTATTGTCTGCAGAGAAAAAAAAAATCAATCTGTGGGACATATGTATTCTGTGCGGGCATCGTGGTGCAGAATTCCCTCAAGAATACGTACCCTGGATGTGCAGCATTATACCATTTCACTGTTTGCAGTATCTGGTATTATACAACATAGTATGTTACTAGTTTTTAAAGTTTACAACGTGACATAATTATATGCCTGGGGGCAGGACTTGGATCAGGGTGAAATAATATGCTGGGACCTCGCTCAAGCTGCAGTCTTCTTCTGCGGAATCTTAATTTTCATTTTAAAAAGTCTGTTTAGGGTGGCAAAGAAAACCTCAAATGTGAACTGATTGTGATAGCTACAAGAGTCTGCAGTAAGCCTTGAACAATAGCTCTGAGATGCCCGGTGGTGATTTTAAATGTCATTGTTAACAATTTAATTCCTCATGTAAGAAAGGAGAGGGAGCATACCTATGTCTGCACCATTCACAGTGAGTGACTTCTCCTTTTGGTGCCACAAGTGAGTGTTGCTTAGGAGAGGGCAGCACTTTCCTTCACACAAGAAGGAGCCTGGTAGAGCCCAGTTGGGAATTTGAGACCCACTGAGGGGCTCCTAAGTCCAAGGCGCTAAGGAATTGAGGTCAGAATGCAACCATATTTTGAGCATCTGCATAACAGGCTGAATGGCAACTCACATGGGCAGACCTTGGAAGAGTACCACTGCCCTTCTCCTTCCCCTAATTTCTCCCCTGCCTTGGAGAGGCTATTAGTAGATATTAGCCATGCTTGTTTTAATCAGTGTTTGAGTCCAGTTTTTCAATGACTCAAAATCCATTAGTTCTTCTTCGAGTGCTTGCTCATGTCCATTCCATGTTAGATATGTGTACGCCGTGTGCACCATTGCCGGAGATTTTTACCTCAGTGGTATCCGTCGGGCCAGCTCTAGCGCTCTCTGGACCCGCGGGCTTATGCACCGGTATATGGGCGCCACCAACACCGCACCCTCGTCAGTTCCTTCTTACGGCCTGAGACAGTTGCTGGAACAACTCTTGCTTCGGCAAGGCATTCTTCTCAGTGGTTTCTTACACTGTTTCATAGTTTGTCTTAAGTATAGTTGTAGTGTATATATTGTAAATAGCATTAGTGTAAATGGTTAGAACTCCAGTCTCCTTATCATCAAGGGGCTTTCTTCGTCCCTGGGGCCAGGCATGCCCGGTCCACGGGTTTCAAACCCGGTGCTTCTAGTGGCAAGCCTATGTCCATGAGCAACCCACACTCCAATTGTCTGAAGAGTTTGGGAGACTCTCCTGTCCACCACAAGTCTCTGGACCCTCGGCATCGAATGGAGGCTGAGAGGGTACCGCTCCGCCATGGTCACTTCAGAAGGGTTCTTCATCTGTCTCTGAGGTAGAACCATACGTCCAGCCTAAGGGCCACCACACCGGCACCCATCCTGTGTACCACCCGATCTTGGTATGGGTCCTCCCACCGGTGCATGGCCAAGTGAACAGTGGCCTATGCAATGGTCATACTGGAATCCTTGGGGGTTTCCCCCAGTACTGGGTCCACCTTCCCGCTGATCTTACTCAGTTGCTTCTGAGAGGTGGGGTCCCGCTCCATCCTGCTCGGCATCGAACCCCAATTCCGGTACCAACCCCAATACCCATATTCAGGATGTAGTCCCCATGGATGTTGTTGAGGCTGAGGAAGAGAAAAAAACCTCCTCCCTCTGGTACAAGCCTCTTCCTCCTGCTCCTCCTCAGATGAGGCCGTCTCAGGGCTGAATATCTTGCTTCCACAAGCTGACTTCAGGACTCATCAGGAGCTTCTAAAGCAGATAGCAGCTATCCTGGGGCTAGAGATTGAGGAACTCAAAGAACCATCCCACATCCTTGTTGACATTCTGGCTGCAGCAGCTCCTTCTGAGGTTGCCCTGTCCATTAATGAGGCTGTAATGGGTATGGTCAGGGCCCTGTGGCAAACCTCTTCTTCTCTGCCCTCCACCTCTAGTCTTGGATGCATCCAACCTAGGTTGGGGAGTCCACCTAGTGTTCCTCCCACAGATCCCAGGAAAGGTAGTGCAGATACTGATGGACAACACCATGGCTGTGTTCTACATCAACAAACGGAGGAGCCCGATCCTCTGCATTGTGTCAGAAGGCCGTCTGTCTATGGGAATTCTGCGTGAAGTACTCCACGCACCTCAAGGCTTCACATCTTCCGGGAGCCTGTAGAACACCCTGGTGGATCACCTCAGCAGATCCTTCTTCTTTCACCACAAATGGTCCCTTTACCCAGAGGTCACCAGGTTCATCTTCCAAAGAGAGGGGGACCTCCCCAGGTAGACCTGTTCGCAACCAAGCAGAATAGAAAATGCCAACAGTTTGCTTGTTGCGTGGGCACAGTCCGGGCTCCCTCTCCGTTGTTTTCCTGCTTCCATGGACAGAGCTACTATTCTGCATATTTTTTCCAGTTCCTCTGGTTCACAAGGTCCTCCTAAAGATCAAGCTTGACGAGGCAAGAGTTATTCTTATAGCCCCGGTGTGACCGTGCCAGCACTGGCTTGGCACGCTGCTCCCGCTCCTCCCACACCTGATCTCATAAGACCACGGTTGGTTACTCCGCCTGAACCTCAGCTCCCTTCATCTAACTGCATGGAAGTTGCATGGCTAAACCGAGAGGAGCAGGCCTGTTCGGAATAAGTTCAACAGGTCTGCTGGGCAGTAGGAAGCCATCCACTAGGGCTACCTACTTCGCCAAATGGAAGCGGTTCTTGATATGGTCATCCCATCGAGGTGTCTCTCCAACTCAGTCTTCCCTTGCGTCCACCCTGTACTACTTGCTCCATCTAAAGCAACAAGGTCTGGCTGCCACATCTAGGAGCAATTTTGGCCTTCCACCCACCGGTGGGCGGAAGATCAGTGTTCTCTCACGAGATGACACTGCTTTCTTAAGGGATTGTACCCACAGGTTCACTAGCTGATTCCCCTGTGGGTCTTAAACTTGGTCCTTTTGAGACTCATGGGTCCTCCCTTTGAGACGCTAACATCGTGCCCTCTGCTACTTCTTTCCTGTAAGGTTTCCTTCCTGGTAGTGATCACCTCAGCCAGAAGGGTCTCTGAAATCAAGGCCCTTGCGTCAGAGCCTCTATACACCATGTTCTTCAAGGGCAGAGTCCAACTGTGCCCCCACCTGGCCTTCTTGCCAAAGGTGGTTTCACAATCCCATAGCAACCAGGCCATTTTTTCTGCCAGTCTTTTCCCCAAAGCCTCACCAGAATTCAGAAGAGTGGCAGCTTCTCTCATTGGATGTTAAGCGTGCCCTCACCTTCTATAGCAAGTGGACTAAATTCTTTCACAAATCCATACAACTCTTTGTAGCAGTAGCAGAAAGGATGAAAGGACTTCCAGTGTCAGCTCAGAGGATCTCATCCTGGATAACCTCCTGTATTCAGGCATGCTACGAACAGGCGAATGTCCCATCTCCGGCGACCCTAATCACTCACTCCACGAGAGCTCAGTCCTCTTCAGAGGCATTCTTCCTGCAGGTTCCAATCCAAGACCTCTGAAGGGCTGCAACTTGGTCATTGGTTCATGCCTTTGCATCCCACTATGCCATCACCCAAAAGGCTTGAGATGACTCCAGGTTTGGAAGAGCAGTGTTGCAGTCAGCATGTCCTTGAACTCTGAGCCCGCTTCTTGAGGTACTGCTTGTGAGTCACCTAACATGGAATGGACATGAGCAAGCACTCAAAGAAGAAAAAATGGTTACTGTCCTTTCTGTAACTGTTCTTTGAGATGTATCTCTCATGTCCATTCCACGACTCACCTTCCTATTCCTCTGTTGGAGTTGGCCAATAAGAAAGAAGTGAGATGATGTGGGACCGGTGGCGCGCCTTATACTGGTGCATATGTGCACTGCTCCAGAGAGCGCTAGAGCCAGTCTGACTGATACCACTGAGGAGGAAATCTCCACCAGTGGCAGACTTGGCATGCATACATACCTAATATGGAATGGACGTGAGCAACACATCTCAAAGAACAACAGTTACAGAAAGGCTAGTAACCCTTTTTTTCCACTTTATAACATTTGTAATTGTAATGTGATACAAAGAGTAATAAATTAGTGTACATTGTTGTACTTGCTGAGATTTTTTTATTTGAACTTTGCTGGAGTTGGTTTTACTCCATTTTATCCAATTAATAAATGATACTGCACCCAAGCATGTAATTTCCTAACGATAAAAATTGGCTGCAAGGAATGTCTGCTTTACTGACTGACAAAATGATCAAGACTAAGCAAATTTCTATTTATTTCCAGATGTATATAGCCCTAATTTCAGCTCATGCACTCATTCTGTGTGGGTTTCAGTTTTTCTCTTGTGTCCGAGGACAGTGGACTGGTAAGCATGCGTTTACTTCTACCACCATAACCAAGCAGTGTTTATAAATAAAAAAATCATAATGTTTGCAAGTGTTTCAACTGTTTAATACAAAGTGCCATGAATATTCTCTTGCCATCTTATTTTCTTGTGTGGTGCATAGTTGAAATTAGCTAATTCCTCCATGCTTTCTTGTGCTTATTAGTATTTCAAGGCAATGTTTTGGTGCACCAGAGCTCACTGGGCTGTCAAGATCATGGGGAGAGTTATATGGCTGAAGGAATATCAGGGTCCTTAATGCAAGGGGATGGAGGATCATTGCTGTAAATACCAGGGAAGGCATGTGGATGAGGGGCTCAAGAGTCACCTTGAATAATAACAACTAGAGATGGGCTCTAGAGCATAGGTGGGGCAGCATTTCATAAGGGTCTCAATACTGGGGGAAGTCCTAGGACCAAGTAAGGGGCTTAGTTCATTGAGTCCTGGGTGAGGGTATTCAAACATAAAATGCCTTACTTCAGTCTTTCATACACATATCTCTTTATTTCATTTTTTGCATATTATAATGCAGTTTGGAATGTGCACGGCTCATCTTTAGGGGAACCTGTCCAGGCAGGACTGCAGTCACTTTCGAATTAGCATTTACTTGTCTAATAAACTGAGTTGTCTAGAACTGTACAGCCTATGGGATGGAAAGTAAAAGATTTGCAAAATCTGGGGTTGAGCTGATTTAGCCACTGTAAAATAAATACAAACATATTTTATCACTTTGTGTTGAAGAGGAGGCACACTTCTCTGGAGTTGCTATTTGCATGGGTTCTTAGTGTGATTTTTTTCATAATTAAGTTTATTCTTTTCACAGAATGCAGTGACTTCTCCCCGCCTGTAACTGTGATCCTGATGGTCTTTTTGTGCCTTGAGGGTTTTCTGTTTCTCACTTTCACTGCTGTTATGTTTGGCACCCAAATCCACTCAATATGCAATGATGAAACGGTAAAACCTACTTCCCTTGCTTGGTGTAATAATTCTAATATAAGACTTGACTAGATATAGCTTTATTGGCCTACGATAGAGGGGCTTTTATGATGGTGAAAATATTCAAATCATAAACACATATCTATTATTTTCCCTGCTACTGGGAGAATCAGAAATAATTATTTGTTTTTGCTAAAGAGCAGATGTGTAACAAATGTGTTCTCCTTAAGGCCTGGTCTACACTAGGGGCGGGAGATCGATCTAAGATACGCAACTTCAGCTATGAGAATAGCGTAGCTGAAGTCGACGTATCTTAGATCGGCTTAGAATCACTTACTTCGCGTCCTCGCGGCGCAGGATTGACGACTGCTGCTCCCCCATCGACTTTGCTTCCGCCTCTCGCCAAGCTGGAGTTCAGCAGTTGACGGGAGAGTGATCGGGGATTGATTTATCGCATCTACATTACACGCGATAAATCGATCCCCGATAGATGGATCGCTACCCGCCGATCCAGCGGGTAGTGTAGTCGTACCCTTAGTACTGACTTCCCCTACATGATGCGGTAGGGTGAGACTTTCAAAGGCTTTTAGAACAAGTTGCATTGTCTTTCAGTGGGGCTTGCGCTGCTAAATTACTTCGACACTTATGGGTGGGATTTTCATAATTCTTAGATTGTCACCAAAAGTGTACATGATGTGCCTAATCTGGGATTAGCAATGTGCTTTTTTTTTTTTTTTTTCCTTTTTTACTGCACTGAAATAATGTACTGGCCGATACTTGGTGTTAATTCATTTTCCTCCCCAAATCCCAGTATAAACATTGGAAGAATGTCATCCACTGTGAGTCATTGACTGAAGATGTAAGGGAGTTGAGTTCACAATGGCATTCTGAATTTTCTCAGCTGATGCTGCTTTGCAAAAGGGAAAACAAATGGTAAATGTTCCACTGGCCTTAGTGGGAAGTGAGGACTGTAAATGATCTGATTTGAGTTGAGATTCTCAATGGCCGTTTTATTTCATTTTTGATAGATTCAATAATTGTAGTTAACAGCTTCTTATTAGTACAGCTCCCTAGCATGCGGTGCCGCTAGTGTTCATTTTAGCTTTTTGTGGTGCTTAGTGTTTCGCTTCTCATGGAATATTGTTGCAGAAACATATTTACTAAATATGCAATGCATTCAGCAAGCTTTAAATACTTACTTTGTGCCGCATTCCCCCACAGTTCAATGAATCATTCTGATTTCTTTCTTAGGCCTGGTCCACACTAACCCCCCCACTTCGAACTAAGATACGCAACTTCAGCTACATGAATAACGTAGCTGAAGTCGAAGTACCTTAGTTCGAACTTACCGCGGGTCCAGATGCGGCAGGCAGGCTCCCCCGTCGACTCCACGTACTCCTCTCGCGGAGCAGGAGTACTGGCGTCGACGGCGAGCACTTCCGGGATCGATTTATCGCGTCTAGACAAGACGCGATAAATCGATCCCAGAAGATCGATTGCTTACCGCCGGACCCGGAGGTAAGTATAGACATACCCTTAGAAAAAAATAGCACTAATTTGTTTCACGCACACCAGTTTGGTGCCTAATTGCATTGCTGCACAGGGTTTGTCACTATTTCTAGTTTAGACCCCACTTCTCTCTTTGAAGGGGGACAGGAAAAAGTCTTGTGGGATCCCCCAATTCTGGCCATTCCATAGTGGGGAGGGTTGGATGGAGTTGTTTCTTCAGATCATGGTGCTGGTCTTCCATTCAGCTTTAGAGGTTTGCTGGAGAGTCATGCAAGACACTTAGTCCTTGCAGGTCTTGGCTAACAGCATCTTCACTTGTACCCCTTAATACAGAAGTGCACTGTACTGTTACTAGACATCCAGATGTAACGTTTCGACTGCCGGAATTTGAGTTGTTCATACTCTGAATCTGATATTAGTACAGTAATGATGCTCCCTTTTAATCCAGAACTTTGTTTAACCAGATATTCCATGTTGCCATTCAATTTGCTTAAGATTTTTTAATGTTCTATAGTGACCAGAGGTGTGCATGTATCAGGTTAGTCTGCGTGTATACATAATTCATACATAATTGAAGATCTTCGTAGTCTGAGTGGTACTAATGAGAATTAACCTTTCTTTAGGAAAATAAAGTATAGATGCAAAACACTATTAAAATTGATGATTTAAATCTGGGTTTCCTGTGTCTTGATTTAAATCAATCCACCCTGCTGGCTGTTAAGTGTATAACTGTTTGTTTTAATTTATGTGCAGGAGATTGAGAGGCTTAAAAGTGAAAAGCCAACATGGGAGAGGAGACTACGTTGGGAAGGGATGAAATCTGTCTTTGGGGGCCAACCTTCACTCCTGTGGATCAATCCTTTTGCAGGATTTCGAATCAGGCAACTTTTGCTGAGAGCAAAGAAAGGGGGACCTGAGTTTTCTGTGTGAGCCTGCCTAATCATACTTGAACTTGCAAGAATACTATATAAATATTTATTTGGGGCCAGAAATGGCTGTCTACGTATAATCTGTGACCAACTGAAACAAACAAGACATTTGCTTGTAGCAAGCAGAGTTTTATAGTCACAGACATCTCATTAACTTTCAGAAACGTAAACTGGATGCTGTAGCCATCTTTCAGCAGGATAACAAAAGAAAGGTGTGTAACCACACTAAAGAAGCCAAAATGTCGTCATACTACTGTAACTTATTGTTTAATGGGATTAATTTTGCATTTTTGTTGAACTGTTTATTTGATAAATGTTTTGGGAATTACCTGTGTGTTTTATAAAATTATGAGCCGAGGTGCAGTTTTCAATCATGAGATCAAGTAGTTAAGTTGGAAGCCCATTTTAAATGGCATCAAGCTTTCTAAATCCATTAGTTTTCAGGGAATAATGACTTAGTCAGTCCTTTAATTTTATTTATATTTTCATTTGTCCTGATAGTCAAAATTATACTGTTACGTCCCACTTCAGACATGCAGTCCTTGCATACTAGTAATTTGAGATTTGTGCGCGTGGTAACATAAACATGTCAGATGCACTCCTCCAGCCCTGCCAAATGTCTTCCGTGATTCACAATAGCATGTCTTGTATTTGGCAGCATTAATCTTAAATGGCATTTAGGTAAATTCTAAATGTGCAGTAATCAAATATTTTTAACTTTAGCTATGGGTCAATTCTGCCCTGCGATACTTGTCTTCAATTCTCAGTGCATTGACTTTAAAGGAACTCGTGTGTGGGTATCTGAGGGACCAGTGACTAGATCCTCCTGTAGGATTAAAAATGAATGTATTGCAGATTGGTATAACTTTGATCCAAAGAACAATCATTATTGTAAGGTCCCGAGGCCCCCCCTTTTGTGTGTGTGTGTGTGTGTGTGTGTGTGTGTGTGTGTGTGTGGATTTTACACACCTTCAGAAACTAGTAAATAGTTCACCAGTCACTTAAATAGAGCCATCCCTGAAAGGAGGGAAACTTCCTTCAGAGTTAGGGAATGTAATCCCAGTCTCCTTTGTGCAAGTACAAGAAATCTGAGTGTAAAATGGAAAATGTGTATAGAGTATATAAAGGGGAGAAATTTCCATTTCACCATTTTCCAATCAAAACTGCTTGAAAACAAAAGAAATGAACAGTGTAGAAATGTAACTTTTTGTGCGTCTGACAAATAACAGTAGTTCTAAGATGTGTTCCTAGATCTCTAAGTAATGAGACAATTTGCAAGTGATGAAATACAGCTGAAAATGGATTATCTTAAACACTACAGATAGAAGAATTTTTGTATTTATCATTACTTTGTTGTCTTTGAATTATCCACTGCACAAAGGATAAAACAGGAGCCTTGATGCATAGCTTGGAACTGTGCCTGGAAAGTAAACAGCTCCCTGTTCTGGGACTTGCCTTAAACTTGTCCAGTTTTTGTTTTTGCTTTACCATTAGCATCAACAAGTTTATCCCACCTCAAGCAGTATGATATGCTCAAGGATCTCCCATTAGTAAGTTTACATTCACAGACTGAAAATATACTTTCTTTTCTTAGTGACTTGTTTCTCCATTTCTGTGCAACTCTTTGTGGAATCTTAATTCTTAATCATACTGATTCTTCATCACATTTATGTCCTAGTATGTGTCGGTTTACTAAGGGATCCATTCAATATACCATGGTCCAATGAACAAAACTGTGCAATACTTCGGAAGATGTATACAGTGCTTAGGGAGTAGGTATGTAATATGGAGAATTGCCAGATGAACACATCCAATAAAGCCACAGACAGATGAACAAAAATACATGTATCATGTAAATGAGGGGGAAGGTTGGAAGTTGGACAAGAATCTTCGAATATTCAGTTCAACATCTCCCATAAATATTGGAGAAAAATGTATCTGGCTTTGTCATGAGGCTTTTAGTATGTATATTGTTTAATAAAATATACTGATGAAAATCAGAAAATATCATTTAAAGCAGTTGAAACCTGTGACTTTGTGCGTGTGTGTGAAATCAAGTTGACTTGGCTTTTCGAACCCTTGTTACATTGTAACTTTTTAATGTAAAAATAAAGTAATGAATAAGTCTTAAAGTTAATGAACTTCCACTCCCTATCTCGGTCATTCTCTTACCTGTGCTTATTTAGACTGGAAGCTCTTTAGTTCAAGGACCATGTCTCTTTGCCTTTTAGATTTACAAACACACTTACTAAATTTCTCAGTGCACGTGAGAAATATCATCGGTTACAGACTACAAAACCAGAAGGGACCTGCTGTGATCATCCAGACTGACCTCAAACGCACACACTAAATATTGACCCTGTGTCATGCTTAAGGATACAATCCATTTTAAGGGCATTCAATCAAATGGCCATCTGGCATTGTTCAGCTTCATGGCCACTCGGTGTTGGCAATCAAAGGGAGAAGCTACTGCTGCAGGATGCTCTGGACTAATTAGTATTGGTTGGGTAACAGCCATCTATAAAACAGTGACTGTCCATGAATACGGAACGAACCCCCCACCTCCACAAAGGCAGATGATCCTCACTGAATTCTTCCATTCAGGAGAGTTCATTTCCGTCAAACACTGCATCTGTTTGTATAGATGGTGTTTAGTCTGGAAAAAAAGACAGAGAGGGGACAGAATCGTTTTCAAGTACATAAAAGGTTGTTACAAGGAGGAGGAAGAAAAAATATTGTTCTTAACCGCTGAGGATAGGACAAGAAGCCATGGGGTTAAATTGCAGCAAGGGCGGTTTAGGTTGAACATTAGGAAAAACTTCCTAAGTGTCAGAGTGGTTAGGCACTGGGATTAAAATGTCTAGGGAGGTTGTGGAATCTCCATCATTGGGGATTTTTAAGAGCAGGTTGGACAAACACCTGTTAGGAATGGTCTAGATCAGGGGTGGGCAAACGTTTTGGCCCGAGGGCCACATCTGGGTATGGAAATTGTATGGGGGGCCATGAATGCTCTTGAAACGGGGAGTTGGGATGTGGGAGGGGGTGAGGGCTCCGGCTGGGGGGGTGGGCTCTGGGGTTGGGCCAGAAATAAGTTCAGGGTATGGGAAGGGGCTCCCGGGTTGGGGTGTGTGTGGGGGGGTCTCCGGCTGGGGGTGCAGACGAGGGGTTAGGGGTGCAGGAGGTTGCTCCGGGCTGGGACCGAGGGGTTTGGAGGGGGATCAGGGCTGGGGCAGGGAGTTGGGGCACAGGAGGGGGTCAGAGGTGCAGTCTCCGGGCGGCACTTACCTCAAGCAGCTCCCAGAAACAATGGCATGTCCCCCCTCCATTTCCTATGTAGAGGCGCAGCCAGGCGGCTCTACGCGCTGCCCTATCTGCAGCCCCCTCCCCCCGCAGCTCCCATTGGCCGTGGTTCCCGGCCAATGGGAGCTGCAGGGGTGGCGTCTGCGGGTGGGGCTGTGTGCAGAGCCACCTGGCCGCGCCTCCAAATAAGAGACGGAAAGGGGACATGCCGCAGCTTCTGGGAGCTGTGCGGAGTGGGACAAGCCACCAACCCCGCTCCCCGGCTGGAGCACCGGAGCGGGGCAAGCCCCAGACTCTACTTCGTGACGGGAACTCGAGGGCCGGATTAAAACATCTGAAGGGCCGGATACGGCCCCTGGGCGGTATTTTGCCCACCTCTGGTCTAGATAATACTTAGTCCTGCCTTGAGTGCTAGGGGACTGGACTAGATGACCTCTCAAGGTCCCTTCCAGTTCTATGATCATATGGTTGTGGTAATCTGTATTTCTTGATAAAATGTATTCTTACCTCTTCCTAGCCATGCAATACAATTAAAAATGTAAGGTAAGCGACAGGTGGAGGTCGGGGGGTGCAGGGTGCGTGGATAACTTTAAATAGTGTGGGATACTTAGGGAATAATATTTTGCATTCTTGTAAATTGTAAATCTGAGTATAGATTGCATATTATCTCTTCTCACTTCAAAGTATACTGGGTTGGCAAAGATGTGCACTAATGTCTGTTCACTAGTACTTTGTAACCTGTTTTAAAACCTCTTCTGGGATTCAAAAATCCATTTTTGTTAATGACTTTGCACAAATTGGCATATTGAAATATTGCTCACCTTTGCGTACTTCCTTTCCACCGATCAGGATGGGAAAGTAAGGTACCAAACTGCAACTGACTCAAACAGGCCAAAAATTAACTTGTCCTCTCAGATGTTGCCAATTCATTTGGCTTTTTTTTCCTAAATAGGGGGTGTGGGGTAGATGTATTCTGGATCGGCAGCTGCCTTGGCATATCGTTTCAGACAATAGCTGTAATTCTGCCATTCCCAAGAAGCTGTGTACAATGTGTTCCAGGTGACCATCCCAAACACTAGCATCAGGAGTGGGAGGCTGGCCAGCAAGAAGAAAAGTTTTCTGCCTTATAGAAGGAAAGGATAGAAGAAGAGAATGATGAGCCACTTGAAGAAGGGAAAGAGATGAGGGACCCATTTTGGTGGGCATGGGAGGAACCAAACTGCTCTCTACTGAGAGCACCAATACATCTGGGGTTGGCTCTTTCCATACATGAGACTCTTTGAACTATTCTTTAAACTGCAACCTACCCTTTCCGTTTATATTGAAGACCATATAAGATGGTCTTTAATATAGACTTAATGATAGGGGAGGAATAAAAGATGGAGAGGAGGCAAAAGTTCTTGAGAGTGCAGAGGGGGGGAAATCTTACCTTAAGGTAAGACAAACTACCATTTGATATTTTACCTGTGGCTTCCAGGAGAAGGCTTTAAAACCAGTACCAGTTAATACTGTAACTGTCCCTTTGAAGCATCACAAAACAAGCTTTGAAAATCAAGTAGTGGCTTTTCTTGAACATGAATACTTTGATAATTGGGATATTTCAGTAAACTCTTGAAAACTAGGCACTAAAGAAGACTCATTGCAAGACTTCTGCTTGGCGTACTTTTGTTCAGTTTTCAGATGTCTGCTAAAACGGCTTCTGAGCCTCAACTGAGGCAAAACCTACCTCCTGGTTTGCTAATCGGTAATTAAAACCTTATCCAAACCAATGCAGCCTCTTCCTTTGCACTAGCTGACTCAAGTCTCTGGTTTATTTACAAAGCTGTGAAGGCTCCCATCATTTGATCCTTTCTTCATTCATGGCAGCTTGTATAGAAAACTACCTTAAATGCATTTATATAAACTTGTGCTAACACTTTTTAATTGTATTTTGTAGCACGTTTTAACAATTTCTGATTTTGAGAAGTTCATACACGAGTAGTTAAGCCGTACTGTAGTCACGCTGGTCTATAAAGGTATGTGTATGTCTACAATGCATCTGGGAGCGAGTCTTCCAGCCCGTTTAGACAGGCTTGAGCTAGTACACACAAAATAGCAATGTGGATGTTCTAGCTCAGGCTTTTTCAAGCCTAGGAGGTTGGGTGGACTTGAGAGCCTGAACTTCTGGCTGAGCTGAAATGTCGGCAGTGCTATTTGTAGTGCTCTACCTCAAGCCCTGTTAGCGTGTCTGCCCGAGTCATGTGTCCTCCTTCAGCTGAAATAGAAACTCCATAGCTGGAACTAGCCAATTTATCCTTTGCTGGTTTAATTTAGATCAGGGGTTCTCAAACTTCATTGTACTGCGACCCCCTTCTGACCACAAAAATTACTACATGCCCCCAGGAGGGGGGGACTGAAGCCTAAGTGCCCCACCCCCCAAGCTGTGCTGCCCTGGGTGGGAGGGGCCAAAGCCTGAGGCCCCTCCACCCTGGGTGTGGGGGCCAAAGCCAAATCCCAAGGGGGCCTATAACCTGAAGCCCTCAGGTTTGTCCTCAGGCCCAGGCCCCAGCAAGGCTAACGCCAGCCCCGGTGATCCCATTAAAACAGGGTTGTGACCCACTGTTTGAGAACTGAGTTAGAAGTAATGTGGTCTATTTCATACTCCTTTTCTGAAGTCTTGAACTGTGGCTGAGACTAGTGTCAGTTTGTTCAAAAACATCTTTCCATATCCTAGAGGAAGCTGTCATGTATTCATTTAAATACCTTCTCCATTAGTTTCTCAGTGCTGTCATAATGCTCAACTGTCTTCAGGGCTGATGATTACTTCAGCAGAGAAAAATGTTCTAGAACTGTGCGCACTGAGAATGTTCTTAATACGTTACCTGAATGTGGCTAATTAAGGTAGAAATTAAACACTGTAGATGGAGTCTCTTAATAAGTGAGCACATGAACATATTGATGATCACCTGTTCTGCATTCACATTTTTTCATTCTGTATGTTGCCATGTGCCTCAAGTGGCAATTAAACTTCTTTGCAATGCAAATAGAATATGATGAAAAAGGCTCCTGAAAATGTCTTGGGCTGAAATGTCTATATTCAGGTATAGCTTTCTGGTTATGTTCTGAATTTCTTATAGAAATAGGTACTGCTAGTAGCAGTCCTTTCAACATTTTCCAGCAGTCCCACAGTAGCAAATCAGAGTAACTTGTATTGCAACGGTATTTAGTACCAAAATAACAAAGTGGATGGTCACCACCACACATCACAGTTGCATAGTCTAGTCATTAATATAAGTGAAAACTTACTGTGTACTGAATATTTCAATAGTTTCCCTTGGGTCTATAATATAGTAAGAAGTTGAAGTATACACAAGACTGTACTTTAATATTTTCCACATGCTTTGATCTGTTATGTAAAAGACATATAACTAAAACATGAAAGAAGAGGTAACACCGTGCTTTCTAAGACATCTGTTTCTTTCAGTAAAGCAGTAGACATGCTGTCAAAGTATAGGAAGGTCTCAAAATTCATTCTTGCACCTTTATTTAAAAAAGAAAATCCAGAAATCTGGTACAGCACGTGCTATAACAACTTCCAAAGCATATTTGAATACACCTTAACAAATACATTAGATTTTTTTCTTTTTGAAAGGCCTGTGCTCTTGGTAGGTGGGGGGAAGGGGGTGTGTGGAAAGGCCAAAGAGGGTGTTTCCTTGTGAAAAATCATTCCAACCCTGAGCAGTGTGGGTTTTTTTAACAGATAAGAACACAGTGTTTTTAGTAATGAGATGCTAACAACCAATTTGCAAAGATTTAATGTGATATCTTCTTTAAATGTATTTACAAGATCAAATATCAGTATGTTGCCATAGCAAAATATTTCCCCCCATCCTATTGAGCCATAAAGTGCTAATTACACAATGCTTATAAGCTATAGCGTGGCTTTGTGGCTATGTCCAGTTAAACAGGTTGGCATATGTTACTTGCATGCTTACCAACATCAGTTTGTTTTTCTAACCTTTATATGCTTTGGGTGAAAATCTTTAGAGAAAACATATGCTCAGGAAAATCAGTGCAGAAACTTGAGCAACTTGCTACTAAAATGATTCGCAAAAACAAAGTAAATCAGAATGTGGAGCCTTTCCATCTGAGCTTTGTTTATACCAGGGGTCGGCAACGTTTGGCACGCAGCTTGCCAGGGTAAGCACCCTGGGGGGCCGTGCCAGTTTATTTACCTGCTGATGCGGCAGGTTCGGCCGATCGCGGCCCCCACTCGCTGCGGTTCGCTGTCCCGGGACAATGGGGGCAGCGAGAAGTGGCGCGGGCGAGGGATGTGCTGGCCGCGGCTTCCCGCCACCCCCATTGGCCCGGGACGGCGAACTGCGGCCAGTAGGGGCCGCGATCGGCCGAACCTTCCGCGTCAGCAGGTAAATAAACTGGCCCGGCCCGCCAGGGCGCTTACCCTGGCGAGCCACGTGCCGAACGTTGCCGATCCCTGGTTTATACATTACCATATTAACAATCTTCAAAGAATGGAACTTGCTCACTTGATAGATTTATATTTAGCTACATTTCATTCATTACCAATACATGAGCTTTGTGTACATGGGGGAAGAAAGGGGAATGGAAGTACATAATGCTATGTTTGTACACAATGCATCTTTTATACTGAAAGGTTGGTTGTTGATGCACAAACTAAAATCAAAATATTCTTCTAGCTTATTGGCATCGAAGGCAATTTCACAGAGTGCAAATTTGAGGAACAAAAAGTACATATACTGTTATATTACAAATTGGGTTCATAGCAGAAATTCAACCCTTGAGTAGCCGTCTTTGTGCAACATGGAAAAGACTCACAAATCATTAAAGTGGGGGAACTAGCTGCTGTTGGAAGACAGCAGTATTAATAACAAGTTCATTCTTTTCAACTGTGAGCTTATTCCTATTCCTCCAAAAGCATGTTAAAAGTTCAGTGAACTTTTGTCTATGTAAAAAACCAAAAAAGGGTTGCGGTTAGTGGTCTTTAATGTACTGTTGATCAATGTAGGCAGCCAACTAAGGTGGTGGTTGGCTGCTTTTTAAGAATACTTTTGTTGTATACATTGGTTATTTGAAGAAGTTGGAGCCTGGCTAACTTAGGAATTACACATTAAGTACAGTGAGACCCCATGATGTAAAAGCACAGAATAACATTTTTTACAAAATATATAGTTCAGTGACAGATCCTTGGGAGAGCTGCTTTTTATATATATATATATATATGTATATATGTATATGTATATATGTATATAAGTCTATAATTCAGGGCTGTGAAGTTTTTTTGTTTTGTTTTTAAAGGATGTTTGCATACTGTCTGCTCCATGAAGCTACAGCAAACCTATATCTACATGCTAGGGAAAGGATCTTCATGTTTTAAGACTGTCACTTTTTTCCAGATACGGTATGAAGCCAAGATGTTTGCATGTGCATAGTACAAGCAAATATTTTGGCAAGCCTATTTTGTTGTTTCCTTACACTTATTAGCAGTTGCATTGTTCCCAAGTATTACCTACAATGTCATGATCAGCTCTCCTACCAACACATTAGATTTATAAAAGACCTAAGGGAAGTATCGAAATGCAGTAGCTGGGTTCCAGATGTATAAACAAATACTGCCTCCTGCATAGTACAGCAAGTTTGTTAGAATCAGAGTAAAGAACACTCCTTCCCGGGATGTTTAGCACAGACCAAATATGGGCTTCAGCTATTAAAATATAACAATTCTTGAAATCTGAACAGCCCTAAGCACAGGTTAATCTAAATTGAAGGTCCGTGACTCATAATCCACAGCATTATGTGTTAGTAAATAACAGCATAAAAATCTTGTACAATACCAGGTCTGTGTGGCATAAGGAAGCCATAATCTCCTGTAGGTTATAAAGAGCATCTCTGATCTATGCTTCAGACAGGCTTTCTAGATTTAGCTTGAAGGACACCAGGAGTGATGGGCATGTACTTCAACTTTTAATAGGCAGAGTGAGAAGGTCTGTTTCTATTTGAGGTATAGCATGCTCATTAGCAATCAACAATAGCTATATGAGATACTTATTTATATTCCTGTAGTCAGGGCCCCCCCAGTGCTGTACAAACATGAAGTAAGAAGTCCCTGCTCCAATGAGCTTACAGCCTTGGTGGTTCTAAAATGAACAACAGCTTCAAGTCCGGGCTGCTCCAGTAAAGGGGGTGATGATAGAGAACATTGGTGAGCCACAGTCTAATGACGGTGCCATTTTAATCACTGACAGGAAAGGGTGTCATCATCAGATCTCGTTATAAGCAGGCAATTGCTGGGCATTGCCATGGCAGAAAGCAGGGATGGTTTAACTTTACATAGGGACACTGGGTATTGCTGTTGGCTTCTTTTCCTGTCCCTTATAAAATCTCTTGCTTGGGTACGATGGTCTGAGGCAGTATTTTCACAACGGCCTCTGGCCCTGCGGTTGGGCCTAGTTTGTAGTCTTCGCTTCCTGTGCTGGTAGACGGAGAAGGAAGGGATGTTTCTGGAGATGCTGCAAGGGAGAAAAATAAAAACAAAGAATTAAAACATATTGGGAGACCATGTTTTTAATAGCACGGTACCTGGTTAAAGACACCAAAGTAGAGTCGCAAGAATCAAGATGGTGGGGTAGATGCAAGTTCATGAATAGCACTAAATGTAGTACATAAGCATAGTTTCTTGACTATCTTGAGTTGTCTTTATGAAATAACTGAAGATGTGCTAGCTTTAATACCTTTTTTCATAACAAAATTTCAAATTTTTTTTTATTAGATCATTGTATTTAGGAAATGACTCTTTGGTAGTGGGGACCATGTAAGTTCCTAAGTGTCTGAGCCCCTCAGTCTTTAACACATTTATTCTCACAATACCTCTGCAAGATAGGGAAGTGCTAATAGCCTCATTTTAATAACCTGTTCTTAGTGTTCTTCAGCAACCACTCTCAACACACTGCATAAGGGAGGTAAGTCTCATCATCCCCATTTCACAGATGGGGGAACTGAGGCATCGAGAGACTAAATGAATTGTCCGGGGTGCCACATGCGATCTGAGGAACTGAATCCAGCTCTCGACTCGCAGCAAAACACTTGGGAGGACAGGTGGTACCAAAATGGGGTGGTAGCCTGTTGTGAATGCAGGTAGCCTCTTCCCCCTTTCACTTTATGATCAGGGACTTGGTGGAGGGTGGGTTATTAGGAGTTTCACCAAGCAACGTACTGCATTGCCTTATAAATAGTACTTGGGAAACTGTGTTCCCACTTCAAAGTGCTGATCTCTAATTAGAGCAATGGCTCTCATATTATGCTCTGTGAACCAGTGGTAAGCTGCAGAGTGCTAACTGGTCACATGATGCTGGCTCTCCTTGTTGTGCCTAGCTGTTAAATAGCATCGAAAATTGAGCTAAACCATCTTCCGGACATTATTGCTAATTACTTTTCCAGGCACACATTTGCTGTCGTTGCTACGAGACAGGAAATGTGAGTATGAGCGGAAGAGGTGGTTTGTGGGAATGGGGAGGGCCAGTTGTCCACAGCGTTTCTATTAAGTTGCAGTCCGTGCTATGGAAAAAATGTAAGCGGGACAGAAGTAGGGCCATTTGCCAATTCAGTGAATACCAACCTTAAGCTACCATGAAAGGAATAATAAAATCAGTTGCCTAATAATGGGCTTTCTTAAAAAACCTCAACAAAAGTTTACTGGAAGCTTTAAAGATTCTACACCTAGGAACTGGCCTTTCGCGCAGGATGAATGATATAATTTCTACTTTGCTGACCATTTACTTTGCATGTAATAAAACAGATCGCACTGGCTGCTGTGTGCCCTACTTTCTGAATGTTTACACTTCTACCTTTGTGCATATAAAATAGCGTTGCCCGTGCTTCTGCTTTTTATTGAGAGTCTCATGCTATTTGGTGGCCTTAAAATCCCTGCTCCTGGATTCAGCTTTCATGTATAAAAAGTAAGTTTCTTGTCCTCGTGGTTGTGGAAGAAACCTGGGAAATGTGTAACCTAAAGGTGCAAAAACTAGAAGGCACATAAAAAGGACCTGGAATGTATTTTTAAAATCTCATAATTTGGAGGGATAGGGTGGGGGGTGACTCATGATTTTTGAATGCTTGGGGTGTTGATTGTGAATATTCTCTTAAATTATAAGTGGAATGATGACACTGTCATAATAGGGCATAGTGAGATGTAAGGCCCAGTGCATCTTGGACCTATGTCTAAAGTTCTCCCCTTGCCTTCAGTGGCAGTTTTGCCAGGAAGGATCCTGAGGTTTGGACCCCTCTTTTGTCTTCTGCTGCTGGATCTAACACGACAGGTCCCATTTAGCCCCACAAAGTCTAAGCGTGATGCTTAAATAATCAAACTAAGCTTATAGGCCCAGCAGCTTCCTACCCAATCCCCGCACTATGCCTGCCAATAGCATAAAGATGGACACCTACGGTTTGGAACTGTGTGAATCACAGAACTCATGTTTGTTAAAGCTGCGTGTCCTGGCAGAGGTTCCAGGTCGAGGTTGGAAGGTCCTGATTGGTACTGTACATCAAGAGTGGTTCCTGCATAGGAGCATGGAAAAGAAGTCATTCTCCCCATCGTTATTAAACTAAAAACCAGCAGAAGCATTCCGATGACCCGAGGCATGTCACATATTTGGACAGGGAGTGGAAGAATTGCTTGTAGCGGGATGACCAGGAGAACTACATCCCCAATTTCCTCAGTTCCCTGTGTCCCCTCCTCCTGCTCCCCTCTCTCCTGGGGTACCCCACCATTTCCAACTATGCCACTGTCTGCTTAGTTACCTAAAAGACCTTGATTTTTGCTGCTCCCAGCTCCAGCATTTTGGCTACTCCTCCGTGGCAATGGCTGACCACACTGTTTGCAGGTGCCCCCAGTTCAGCCCTGAATATGATGTTCTCACAAGGTTACAATTTACTTTTTGTATTAATACAAAATGTTGCACCCTTGGAGGTGTGTGTGTGTGTGTGTGGGGGGAGGGGTCAGTTCCATCCATGCGCTAATGAAAAAAGGTCAGATCCTTAGCTAGTATGAATCACCATAGCTCCATCACCTTCAATACAGCTATGCCAATTTATATCAACCTCTGATCTGGCTCCAAAGTCTCTTAAATTTGATCAATCTGAAAAGTTCCTGGGGCATCCCTAAATATGGCATTGGTGCTAGGACTGTTGTTAAGGCCTTTGAAATACTCACGGTTTTCAAGGCATGCAGGTAAGAAAGAGGGTCTCAGTGGGGTCGTACCTCCCAGAAGCATTTCTTGCAGCAAGCTGTCAATCCTCGCCACGCCAAAGAGTTTCATGAATTGGACCTGCTCTATCATTTGCCAGGTGATGCTCTGGAGTGGCGGCAGGAGGAGAAGAATGTCGCTGAACCGCCCTCGAGAGTCGTACTGCCGGTCGTTGATGTAATCCTCCAGGTTGACCTGCACCTGGAATCGCATGTTCTTCACCTTCCCAGGCTCACTCAGGCCTTTACAGTCTGGGAGGTAGAAAGATACAGACAATTTACACCCATCCCCACACACACAAGCTGGAACAGCTCTGTCAATCATCCAGACTCTAGAAGAAAAGATTAAATACACCTCTGTGGCAAGTGACTTTTAAAAAAAAAAAATTTCTCCTTTCGCCTAGAAGTTGGAATGTCTCCAGAGTAACGTGGCAGCTCAATGTTAATCTGTCAATAGTTCACATCCCACAGGGAGCAGAGCAATGTCTAAAGGGAATGGTAGGAAAATAGGAGTTTGGTTCCTGCGGGTAGGATGATTAACAAGCATGGGGGGCGGGTAGCAGAGGCCAGGGGAGGCTAAGCCTCCCCTAACCCAGGCCTATAGCCCCTCCCACACACTGTCCCGCCATCTCTCTCCCCTGAAGATGTCAGGGTGGCCTGGAGCTCAGGGCTCGGGCCCACCAGCAGCCGGCCCACCAGGGGCAGCTCAGGCTGGAGCTGACCAGTAGCCTGGTGCTGGGGCCGGCCTGGGGGTTGGGCTGGCCAGCATGGCTGGAGCAGGCCGGCCAGTGGCTTGGGGTGGCTGGGGCAGGCCAGTCAGGGCGCTTCCGGCTGCAGGAGCAGGGGCTCTGGGCTCCTCCGGCCATGGGGGTTGTGGCCTCAGGTGGAAGGGATGGGGCCAGTGGGCTAGCCTCCCTGAAGGGCGGGGGTTCACCTGCCACCCATGTTAACAAGCAAAGGCAAAGATAGGAAAAACAGGAGCTTAAAATTATTTATGCCCCAAAAGAAGTGGGCGAAGTGCTGAGGACCCAGCCACTGCCATTGAATTTAGTGCATGCTCGGCCTTCCTGAAAACCAGGCCACTTCCTTTGGGGCATAAATATGAATGTAGGGGCCTGTCTTTTATTGTTCAAAATCATGGCCAGGATTTTTAGGTAAAACAAAGGGTGTTCCTTGGGGTGGAGAGGCCTGTGGGGAAATAGATTGTGAAGGTGGAGCCGAGAAACAGCTGTTGTATGAATGCCTCGTGTAACTGTAGAGATTTTCAATAGATTCCCCGTAGATTTTCTAGTTAAATTCAGAATCTTTCCCCCTATCTTCAAAGCACTCCACAGCCTGGGCACAGGAAATCTGAAAGATTGTTTTAAAGCTTCAGGATAAAAACTGCAGTTGACAACTCCCCTCCTTTGGCACAATGGAACTCTCAACGATAAGAATAAAGCTCATCTGTGTGGGGGAGACACAACTTTCTCGGGGGGGCTGGTCTGAGACTGCGGCATGAACTCCCCCAATAACTAAAGACCTTCCCACACCGTACCAATTTCCATTTCTGCTGCAAAGCACATTTCTTTGACCTGCCCTCTTTAACATCAAAACAAAGCAACAACTATATTTATAGTTAAAAAAAAAAAAAAACTAAGACACACCCACTGTACAAGCTTCTCACCTCGGGAGAGGCTGAGAGAACAAACAACGTGTGACAGCTGTGTAGTCACATTTCTTAATGCAATACTGGCAGGTGCTCAGATACTACAGTGATGAGCTCAGTATAAAAACCTATGTAGAACAGTAAAGGGAAATCGGGATCAAAAACTATCTATCCTACGTAGTGAAAATAATCCTGAATGGATTTTGGAGCCATCCAGTGCATGCTTCATGAGAGACCATCCTATCGTCCTAGGGGACTTCAACTGTGCAAATATCTTTGTGGGAATGGCACAGTAACCTGAAAGGGCTAACTGCGGGATCACACAAGAAAAGATAATGCTCAGGGCACCTTAAACCACAGACTGGGTCTGAAATACACTGCCCTGCTGGACTAGGAAAGAGGCTTTGTGTACTGTAACTAATGGAGATGGTACTTCTGGTCTCTGCCTTAGCTTTTGCAGCGTATAAGTCTAGATGTGATATGCAGCGCATTTCTATTATTTTAATTGGATTTTCTCTGTATGTTCCTAACAAATCTTTTCTTACTCCAATCCAGGTGGTTTTAGGCTGTTTGGAAATTTCATACAGACTGTCCCAAAGAATTGAAGCAACTTTCAATGTTTAAGGAGAGGTAGGTAGGGCTGGGTGCCTGCAGTTTAGTCTGTTCAGGACAGTCATGAAGATTATGGACTAAGGAGACCTCTTCCATTAGGTATGTTGCTTCAAGGCTGCAGCCCTCCAGATACACAGGAAACAGCTCAGGGCCATGATGAGAAATGAGTTGAAGACACATACGGTGACAGGTAAGTGCCAATAGAAGAATGTCTCATTTGGCGTTGGCCTAGGTTCAGTTCTCCAGCTGTAAAAGGGGGATAAAAGCACTTCTCTGACTCAGAGGAGTGTTGTGAAGGGCTCAGATAGTACAGTAATGGGGGCCATGTGAGTAAAAGATAGGTGTGGGGGAAGGGACAGAAGGATGGATGGATCGCACTCAGCAAGGGGTTATAGTAAAAACACAACTGTTCAAGACCATGTGAGCTAGGAAAGCAGCAGGTCTCTAAAAGTTCTACTGCAGGCCATGCCTTTGATGTGCACTCCTCTCTTCTTGTATGCGAGGTGGCCCCATCCTATCCCCTTCATTCATGGTTTGCTCTTTGTATTATTCCCCCTGTTGAGTCTAGCCCAGCGTTCAGCAACTTTTGGTCAAACAACTCAACTCTAATAAGTGATAAGACACCAAACGAGTGTTATTTTTTAGAGCCCCGCCCATTTGTAATGCTCTCACAAACCCTGGAATGTGTCTTCATTTGTCTCCCTTGGAGCCTACTCCAAAGCCACTGAAAGACTCCCATTCGTTCTGATGGGCTTCAGATCAGGCCCTAATTTCCCGGTCTCTTTTCCCCAAATCTTTTCTTTATTCTGTCACTTTGTACTCTGAGCGTGAGACGTTGCAGCATCCTTCCTGATGTTGACAGAAACTGCAGGCAATCAACACTTCTCATGGCCTAACCATTTGTGCATTTTATGCTCCCTCCCAGCCCCGATTTAATCCCCATTCTGTTGCTTGGTTAATTCACAGAAAAATTAAATATAGGTATGCATGTCCTCATTTTCTATTGATATACATCACTAAGTGAGGCCAAACTCTGGAAGCAGCTCAGTTCCTGCAGGTTCTGTAAGGTTTTGCATGTCTCTCGGGCTGGAGCTAATGCTCTGCAAATAATAGAGATGTCTGCAGGAAAAGACCAGTTTTAGCTTGCCTGCTAATGCACTGCTAAGCATTACTCCTTTACAGCTGAGAGCCAACTGAAAAGCATAACTGCAGCCTGGGAGCTGTCATTAGTAGCCAAGATAGAATACAGATTCTGGGATTCCTAATCCTTGACCTAATGACAAATCCCATCATTTCTGCTTTAATACTTACAAACCTTGCAATTAGGCTTCTTAGGAGAGATGAGGGAATGGAGCACCACAAAATGGAGGAGGATCAACAATACTAGCATTTTTAAGAAATGCCATAAATGATCCATTTTTTTTCTCCCCAGACCGGACCCCTCACTCCACCCATTTATGTGCCATTTTATTTCTATCAAGATTCTTCTTTTGGAATTCCACGATCTGCCACTGATGATAGTGGTTTGGTAAATCTGAGACACTTACCTGGGTCAAAAAATATGATTGCTTTGAGGCACGCATACTCATTGTCATCAACCTGGATGTCACGTAAGGGCTTTACCAACTCATCCAGGATTCGAATGGCTACGCGAGCAATTTCCAGTTCTGGGCAGTGCATTGGAATGATGAAATCATTTCCTGAGGAGATGAAAAGACATCAGTATCAGCCATTTACACCAGTTCTTTGGACATGGTGCATTACAAAATCACCCATTTCTTCAGACACCGACAGCCATATTTGCAGAATGCAGCACATGATTATGGATAATCTTGCCTGTTTTTAGATGATAGATATTTCCTTGTAATTTAAGATGCTGTTTTCTTCTATCTAATCTAAATTTGTTCTAATCTCTCTTTAGTATTTCTAAGGGACCTATCACCTTAATTTCTAGGCATCAGTGTCTAAGGGGATGTCTACATCACAAAGTGACAGGGTGATGGTAGCATGGTATGCATACCTGTGTCAGCTGTAATTTAGCTAGCACAGGTAACAATAGCAGTGTAGACGTGGTGGCACATGTTAGCAAGCAAAGTACTTATCCAGGGACCTCAGGGGGCTTGGATTCTGGTTGCTAGCCTGTGCTGAAACTGGTGCCACCACGTCTACACAGCTATTGTTACTCATGCTAGCTAGATTAAAGCTGACATGGGTATGCCTACCCACGCTGCAATCACACCTTCCCTTTGCAGTGTGGACAGAGCCAAAATGCTGAGTAGAACAGTGAGCATTCACTATGCATTAGCAGAGGTAACATTTACATGCTGTCTCTAACTAAAGCATCATTTTAATTTTCTGACTATTCCAGCTCCAGCACAAATACATTGAACCAAAACTCAAGGCCTCCAAGACCCATGTATGAGTCTCCCCACCTGGTCTGGAGATAAGGAGTGATCTCTTGTCTCTGCGGTATTTCTCCCCTTGCTTTTTCCTTGAGCCAGTACCAAGCTAATCCATGAGTCTGGGGATCTATGCAGTGGGAGTTCTATGGGGCCGAGAGGATGCATCTCTCCACTGGCTCTGTGGCATTTCCCTGGCAGGACAGCACAGCCCTGGGTAGTAACGATCCTCCTTAAAGAGGGCTCCTATGGAAACTACTGACTGTGGAAGTCCTATCAGAGCGGCTCTCTTGGAGCACCAATGCTGTTAGGCAGCATAGGGTAGCTGGGCTCCTGCTGATCCTTCAGTATCTGTGCAGATCCTGGTAATACCTGGGGTCTGGGAACCAGCCTCATGACCTGTTTGTTCCCCCCTCAATGGACCATGGGGAAGAAAGCACCTCACAGAGAATCTCATGGAGATTTTCTCACCCTTAGTCCTATGGGTTTTTCCTTGGGATGCAAAGATAAGGCCCTGAATTTAAGGGGTGACAATTACAGTCTTTAAGTACCTACTTGGGGAACAAATATTTAATAATGGGCTCTTCAATCTATCAGAGAAAGGTATATCAGGATCCAATGGCTGGAAGTTGAAGTTAGACAAATTCAGACTGAAAATAAGGCATACATTTTGAACAGTGACAGTAATTAATCATTGGAACAATTTACCAAGGATCATAGTGGATTCTCCATCACTGACAATTTTTAAATCAAGATTGGATGTGTTTCTAAAAGCTCTGCTTTAGGAATTATTTTGGGGAAGTTCTATGGCCTGTGTTATACAGGAGGTCAGACTAGATGATCACAATGGTCCCTTCTGGCTATGGAATCTATAATAATATATGGAGATACACCTATCTCATAGAACTGGAAGGGACCTTGAAAGGTCATTGAATCCAGCCCCCTGCCTTCACTAGGCAGGACTAAGTACTGATTTTGCCCCAGGTTCCTAAGTGGCCCCCTCAAGGATTGAACTCACAACCCTGAGTTTAGCAGGCTAATGCTCAAACCACTGAGCTATCCCTCCGCCTTGTGGCAAATGTGGAACAATAATTTATTGTACAAGTCATTTAGATACTCAGAGACATAAACCTAACAGAGAGCAAAGCATGCAGGTTTCTTCCTCCAAACTCATTGTAAGTCTGCCCTCCAGTGTTCCAAAGCTGGGTTGCCACAAGGCTTATTGTGCCTAAATTTAAACCTGGAGGGAAGCAAAATCGAGTAGCTTTATATCGACATTCTAGCAGTGCTATAGAAGCAGAGGGGTGGAAGGTGCATGTTTGCATGTAATTTGGTGTCATTCTGTAACTGAAGTTATCATGTCAGTGGGCCACAGTTTAGTTTGTATTTATTTATTTTTCTTAGTCATAACAAAAAAATTTCATCCTAGCAGCCTAAATTATCAATACAGTTTGTTGGCTAAAATACAATGATGATCTTGCCTATTTATATATTGTCTGACATCCAGAAAGTTCCCCAAACTCTTTGGTTTACAAACAGATGTACAAGCTCTATGGAGAGAGGACTTTATCCACCATGGCAGTGCGGCCACCTCTGGAGAAAAGTAGCAACAATTTAACAGCATAAAGCATAACAGGTGAAATATATCTTAGCTAGCTGAATGCAAGAGGAATTGCAGATGGGTAGGATACATAATAATTATCCAGCATGTAAATCTGTGCAAACTTCAAAGCAAGAATGAATGATATTATTTTACCTAATAATAGAAAATCTGTATATGGTATTGACCGTTTAGCAACTCCCAGGAGTAGGTGCTCTCCTGCATGGGCTCTTAGCAAGACAACCTGCAGATTACAGGAAAGAAACAGAGCGTATTACACTTCAACAGCAGACAGAGGAACAGTCGGATGATTGATGTGTAGAGAATGGGGAAGATTCTGCTTTCATTTAAATCAGTGCAAATCTGGAATAGCTCCACTGTAGTCAATGGAATTACTCCTGGGATAATTGAGAGCAAAATCTGACACTAACTTGACTATACTTTGACTCTTTAGATGTTAGAAGCATTACATTTACAAAACATTAAAGCAAAACTCATTTTGCAAAGCAAGAACAAAGGAGAACATGTTTTATTTGATATTGCCCTGGAAACAGTGGCTCTTGGATCCTTCTACCAGCAGATGATGTTAGAAAAAATACAACCTCCCTTTTGACCCATCATTCCCAGTGCTGGCTCAGCTGATCATATGCAATATTTTTCTTGTCTTCAGTGGGTGGCAATCATTTATAATTAATTAGTAATAACAAAAGCCTGGCCCTTTAAAATACCACCTCTCCTGCAAGGAATTTCTTGCTCTACATGGTGAATTCTATTGAATATCACCCAATTTGATGTTAAAGGGCAGTGACTATGTGTTTATATTAAATAAATATATTAAATATAAATGGCTTCAGGGAGTGACAGAGACAGAGCCCTATTTCACCTGGTCATCCAGTGGAAGTTCACAGAATGCTGGGATATATTTCGCCCATTCAACAAGGGCTAAAAGCTGCTGTTTCATGGACTCACACACATCATTGATGGTTGCAACCTTCTTCATCGCAATATCAGCACTGTGCACTGGACTCAGAGCTGAGTACTGAAAGAAAAACAAAGCAGAATTTGTACGTAGAACAGGCTTAAGTGTTGCTTTGTTGAACAACATGCCTGGTCAAGTAGAGTCTAATAAGTGTTTCCTACATATCACGGGATTTATGGTTAACACGGGGTTTCTATAAAGCCATTAATTTTGTCCTATCTCAAATATAACGTTTGACATTCACAGTGATTTGAAGAGAGCTGTATGTTTGATCCAGTGTTGAACATCAATGACGCAAGAATGTTTGCAGTCTCCACCGGGTGGCGCTGTGTCACAACAGAGGCCTAGTGACTTGAGCAGCACAAGAGGCACAGTGACTTGAGCAGCTAATTGTCAGGGTGTTTTACAACCGACTCCTCTGACTTGACGAAGGGATTTTCTTTCTTTTGATCAAAAGCACAGGATCTGAGCGCCCTGCTAATTATTTAATATGGCAGACCCAAAGAAGCAGCTCAATCAGCTCACCCAGCCTCCCAAGCAGCAGCTTGTTATAAAATACAAACACCCCCATGCATCCATCTCCCTACCTCTTTTACAAGGTCAGTGGCGACAAATGGGCCCAGCGGTGTTAACTAAGGACTTGTTTGGGCCTCGCAAACCCAGGTGTGAATCTGCAATGTGCTAGCTTGCCATCCAGAAACGTCGTTTGTGGGCACTGCTGCAGCACACTAAAACGTCCATAGGGCCCTTTAATGAATAGGTTATTGCACTTTAGATTCACGCCCGGGCCCCCACGTCCTCTGTAGACAAGCCCTGAAAGGCGAAGCTCTCTAATGCATGTTGTGAAGGCAGCAATTCTTGAAGAAGTGAAAACATTTTTATATGTGAAGAAAATCTGCACCAGGTGTGTGGAAGAAAAGGACCGTTTGTATTGGAAATTAAAAGGATGCCCTTAGTTGTTTGTTGTTGTTTTCTTAACTCAAACTGGAGCATGTGGTAAGGGAAGAGGAAGGAAGGAGAAGATGATAGGCTTCCCTCAGTATAAATGCAAGATCTGCAAATGTAAGAGCATTATTAGGGTAACAATTGTAGAAGAGCAAAGAGCTAATAAACTGGGATTTAAACCCAACGCTCCTAAGTTCCTAACAAGTTATATACTGTACCTACAGGAATTTCTTCATGCATCATTGAAATGCAGCCACCTCTGGGGTGCAACAAAGCAAATGAAGTGGACAGCAAGGCAATGCAGCAATTTAGGATAAGAAACGAAGAAGACTACCATATCCTACTGGACCGCCATGGGGAATTGGTAGGCGGAATGTAATTGCTCAGACCTGTAGCCAGGACGTAGATGCTAGGGTCCAGATCCTCAAAGCAATTTAGGCTTCCTGATTTCAGCGAAAGTTAGGAAATCTAACTACCTTTGTGGATCTGACCCTAGTTGCCCAACTCTTGCAATAGTTGCGATGGGATCTTTAATGTCTTCAAGTTGGCAGGAATTCAGTTTTGTGTCTCAGCTGAAATATGGCACCTCCAGTAGTACAACACCCCCTATAAGGATGCTTGGGCACTGGTTCAGCAATGACCCAGAGAGAACATGAGAAAATCATTAATATTGCTTCCTGTTGCAATTAGTTGTTCCATTTAAGTGCCATCCAAGGACTGAGTAGACTCATCCTTGCTTAGTTGGACAAGTTCACAGTCCGAAGTGGCTATAAAACCCTTCTAATAATGCTTGTCAGTGTGTTTCATACCTGCTGTGCCATAGCCTCAGCCTGGGTCAGTACAGTGATTGACAGGGATCCATTGTCCTCGTAGCTACTCCTGCGAATGCTAATCCTGTCCCGTTCATTCTGCACAGCTTCAAAGAGAGAAAGAATGACAGTCACGTGATGCATTAGAGATTGCCTTTCCCTGCCATCACTGGTGGTGGCTATGTACTATCATCGGGAACTCTGCAATTTGCTAGTCGTTTTATGAATCAATAAAGACATACTATTCAAACTGTCAACAGTTTAAGTAGAGAGACACGGTGGGTGAGCAAATATCTTTTATTGGACCACTCTCTCATCGACAAACAGTATTACATCACTCACCTTGTCTCTCTAATATCCTGGGATCAACGCGGCTACCACAGCACTGCATACAGCAATTTAAATAGTTATTTTAATGTTAGTAACAATTTTATGAGTATGTTGCATAGGGGGCAAAAAGATTACCGGCTGCAATGGCTTCTCTAATGAGTGTTCCAGCATGTCCTACCTGTAGGAGAGCACATGTGTGACATGCCCTTCAGTTTCAGGGCCTACTTCTGCTACTAAATCCATATGGACAGACCCTTGCACCCACATGGAGTAGTTCCAGTGGTAGTTATTATTTGTATTATGGTAGCACCTAGAGTCTCCCACTGAGATTGGAGCCCCATTGTAACCCACAGTAAGAGACAACCCCCTGCCTTAAAGAACTCTCAATCTAAATAGACATTAGAAAATAGTCAAGGATGGAAGGGAAAATAGGGGTATAGAGAGATGACGTGACTTCCCCAAGATCACCCTGCAGGTTAGTGGAAGAGTCAGGAATATAAACTTGTGTGCCCGGTTCCCATTGTCTCCAAACTATCCCCAAAGTGTTTCACAAAGTCAACCGTTTGTCTCTCTCACCAGCAGAAGCTGGTCCAATAAAAGATATTGCCTCTCCCACCTTGTCTCATACAAATCGGAGCAGAAGTGGGTGGGAAATCAGAGCCAGGGAGAAAAAATGTGGCCAAGAGTTGACAACATGAAGAAATACAGGCAGGCGGGTCCAGATGCCAAGAGCTGCAGAAGAGGCGACTCATGAAGTAAGAGTGGCGAGCAAGAGTAAGAGAGGATGGTGCAAGATGAGCAGAGCAAGCTGGCAAGGGTGTAGAGAGAGAGAGATTAAGAGCCTCATCCAAAGGCTGAAGAAATCAATGGGAATCTTTTCATTGATTTCAATGGTCTGTAGATCAGGCTCTAAGCCCATGAGATTTGATGCAGAAACGCCATGGAACATTTGAAAATCTGGGAAGAGACTTCTGAATGGGACCCTGAAATGAATAGGAAGTTGTTTGAGGTTTGTGTGATGTGGTCCCATTTCTCAGTGGTTTGTGTCCCCTATTGCCACACCCTATTGTTAGTCTCTAAGGTGCCACAAGTACTCCTGTTCTTTTTGCGGATTCAGACTAACACGGCTGCTACTCTGAAACCATCACCCCATTTGCCGCACTCACACCACTGGGAGAAATGTTGTGTGATGTGCCTATGGAGGGTTACTTTATTTCTGTCCTGTTCTATACACAGTCTTATCCACACTCATCACCGTAGTATCTGAGCTCCTTCCAGCAGCGCATTAAGAAACGTGGCTACATCTCTGCCACATGTTGTTTGTTTTCTCATCCTCTCCCCAGAGTGAGAAGCGTGTGCAGTGGAGTGTCTTGTTTTGGTAGGTGTTTTGTTGTTGTTGTTGTTGTTTTAATGTATAGATGTGGTGCTCTGTGTTTGGTAGAGAAGGCAAGGTCAAAGAAGTGTGCCTTGCTCTTGGAGCAGAAAGCAGTGAGGTCTGTGATGGTCCTTAAAGGGTAAGAACTTGGCCATGTTCCTCTAGTTGCACATGTGACAATGGAAAATCCAGTCTGGGCCTCTGCATCAGGAGAACCCAGCAACGATTGTACTGTATTTCCTGGTACTGGGACTCGGTCTCCAGGATGATTTCCCAGTGATGGGGTTGGGGTGAGGAAGAGCAGCAATCATCTCTATGATCACTGCATTAAAGAAACCCACGGATTCTGTAACCCTCCCCGTAAAAGACCAGCAGACTTGTTCATGATGCTGATCGTTCCGTAGAAGAGATCACTCCTACTCAATGGACTATCTACCAAACGAGGATGCTGGTGCATAACTAAGGAAGTAAATAAAGAAAAGATTTATTTCAAATTCTGGTTGAGGGACACACACAAATGATCGCTGCAAGAACATTTCAAAGTGTCCCATTAATAACAGCAACATAACTCCCCTAGATTCAGTTGAAAATTGGAAACATTCTTCCCTTCGTACACAAGGGGAAACAATTCCCAGATCATAAATTGTCAGACATTCAGCAACTTGTTCAGACACTTGCGAAAGTTTCTCAGTTGAGAAAGTATCACACTGTCTGCCAGGATTTTCTTTCTAGACAGACAGACAAACCCACTCTCATCTGCTGGATACAACTGCACTGACCTTTCAGCTCTGGGCTCTACCACTCAGTGTGCTGCAAAAGAAAATGAATGGACTGATACCTGGCTTTACAATCGAAAGCAGTAAGAAAATCACAACTGGCCTTGGATGGGGTTCTTTGGTTCATAGAGTGTTTATCTATGGGTTTATCGCAGCCTCACAGCTTTGGGTCCCCACTGTTTAATAGTGACAGAACAAGGAGTAATGGTCTCAAGTTGCAGTGGGGGAGGTTTAGATTGGATATTAGGAAAAACTTTTTCACTAGGAGGGTGGTGAAGCACGGGTTACCTAGGGAGGTGGTGGAATCTTCGTCCTTAGAGGTTTTTAAGGTCAGGCTTGACAAAGCCCTGGCTGGGATGATTTGGTTGGGGATTGGTCCTGCTTCGAGCAGGGGGTTGGACTAGATGACCTCCTGAGGTCCCTTCCAACCCTGATATTCTATGATTCTAAGCACCAAATCTCTAATGGGAAGAGCTACTGCCTTCAATGACAGCAGCCAAACACCACAGAGGAATCCTGTTTATAATGCTGAGCGCCATACTCTGCTCACACAGAGAAACCCAAGTGCTTGCTTGGCTGACGTTTTGTCATCCCAGGTGAGTGCTCAAACTACTGGGCTAGAGTCAGTATCTTTTGCTCTGGCCTACTGAATATTTAATTATTTATGCAAAGAGAAATAACTCCAACAGGAGCACTTGAGAAAGCCTGAGGCTATAGCCCGATGGGTAGGGTGCTCCTCTGGAACGTGGGAGACCTGAGTGCAAGTCTCTGCAGATGAGACATTTGTGTTTAGATCTTCCACTCGCCAGGTGAGTTGGCCCTTCTGGGGGGGGTCTCATGTTTTTTCATGAAAAATTTCCAACGGGCTTGGTCCCTTCCAGTGAGGAAGGCCATCAAATTCTGAAACTTCAACATTTTTCATGTAATGGAATTTTTCTCACCAGCCCTAGATTCAGTTGAAAATTGCCATTCTTGTTTTCAAAATGGAATTTTCACCCTCTGGCAGCTGGTTCATAAGGCTCATTTGTCGAACCGGGGGGAACTTCTTTGAAATAAACTATTTACAAATACATTTTTTTCCCATGGCTCAACCAGACTTAGCAACTTTTGACCCTTGAACTTTGTTAAGTACATTGGGATACAATTTGTTTGCAGGATGCTCTGCAAAATAAAATACTCTAACTGTAGGGTATTTGACTATTGAATAAAAGCCCAGCCAATGAAAAAAAAATCTCCCCTTTGTTTGCAAACAGAAACTAGCTGTGCAAACGGTCTGTTCTGCTCTGAGCACAGAAAGCAGGTAAAGTAATAGAGTAACAAGTGGCTTTGCTGAGAATTACAGCTCCCTTTAATTTCTGCATCAGTTTAGCCTGCGGCACTCTGTTCCCACACTATGGACTCGCTGCAGCAACGAACGATCAGTGCAATAAGCATACGCGAGGAAAGATCCTGAGCAAAGACTCAACAGTATCCTGACAGTTCATACATTTTGGCACAGTACGGCTCAGAAATTCAATCCATGGTTTCTTAAAGCTCAGGGAGCAGCAAGGTTTAGCACGTAACAATAGTACAGTACATCTCTACCTACTCCTACGGACATGTTTGAAATCAAAACTCCCTTTGGTTACATACCGGGATGACGCAGATGGGCAGACTAGGTTTAACTCTAGCAAGCAAGGGTTCTGCTGCCATTCTTGATATAATATATTAACCCCCTTGGACATTGCAAGTTTATATTATATAACTATATGTTGTAAACTCCCTGGGACAGGCTCTTTTTTGTCATATGTATGGACAGTGGCTAGCACAATAGGAATGTTCCTTAGGACTCCCAGGAGTTGCTGCAATGCAAATATTAAATAATAATATTGTACCCAACCATGTTCTCCTAATTATCCCTTTACCCATCAGTTTAAAAGATACCAGTATTCTAAGGATTAGCTGGATGGCGCTTGAATAAAAAAGCAGAATCCATGAAGATGTTTCATTAGCCTATGGAAAGAGTTGTGCTTTCCTATTTATCTTATTTACTTCCTTGTCTTTTTTTTTTTTTTTTTTTTTTTGGGGGGGGGGCATTTCAAAAGGTTTTGCTTAAAAGCCACTCATGTCCTTAAAATACCAGACGGTTTAGGAGCAGCTAGCTGTAGATGCTATCAGAGTGGGTGAGTGGCAATGAGTGACAAGCCTTTGAAATGTATTGAGGTGCCTAACTCCCATTGGCACCTTTGAGGATCTGGGCCATACTGACCAAATGTTACCCTCCGTTCGGCAGCCTGAGTAAAATGAGTGTGGGGGTTTCTTCCTTTTAGGCAGAAAAATGACGGGTGCTCTTATGGGGGTCTCAATGAAAAGACCGAAGACCAGGGCCGGCCTTTGAGGTGGGCGATACGGCTCCCCGCCCAAGGCAGCCCGCCCAAGTGGGGGCCGTGCGCAGGGTTTCCCACCTGATCTGCTGCCGAGAGGCCAGCTGGGCTGATGGAGGCGTGGGGGAGCGGGAGAGACGACCAGCCTCGGAGCCAGGTGACTCCTCCGGAGCAGGGGTTCCCCTCTTCTGCTCTGCTCCACATGTACAGCCGCTGCTGTTCCTGTGTTCCCGCACCCTGCCTTCTTCCTGGAGTCGCCCCTG